CGCGCTCCTCTGGTTAACAGGCGGGCCACTTTTTATCTTGCAATGACCGAACCGTGAGCTTTCACAGCAGCCTCGAACGGGGGGTGAAGTGACACTCTGACAGTGCACCCCCTCTCTCTCGACAGCACCCCGACTCTGTGGAGGGAGGTGTAGATGAGGGGACAGGACCGCTGATGGAGAGGCTCCTGGAGTGGAGCTTTGACAGACAGGTCCAGCACCACCAGCAGGTACCAGTGCCCACCTCCAGTGGACAGCATTTTGGGATGGAGCACAGCAGCCTGACCCGCTCCAGGCTCCCATTCCCCTAAGGCCCAGTCCAGCTCCAGATCTTCCAGCGTGCTCAACCAGACTCCTGCTCCGCAGCGGCCACTCCATGTCTTACCAGCAGCAGTTAGCAGCGCTTGCACAGTGTGTGGATCAATAAAATGTAGTGTCCCGCTTCCTTATCGGGATCAAGACATTCTTGCCTTATTCTGCACAGACAGACCACGCAGGACTGATAAAGTGTGTTTTGTGTTCTTTCACAACCACGTCGAATCTCAAGACTGCTGCTGCTGGTTCTTCCGAATATCCTGACTTTACCAAGGCCACATCTATAGCCGCGCACGAGGGTAATAAACTTCTGTCTTCTTTGGCCCTTGCCCCTGACTCGGCCCGCGGACGAGTCAGAACTGTACCTGAAGTGCAGGCACACTTATATGGGGGATCTGTTGTTTTGTGTTTGTGAGCTTCTGCCAGGTCGGGGGCCGGGTGTTGGCGTCGCTCCTGGCGCGCTAGGGCATTGTGGGAGCTCTCCTGGGGAGGTCGCGTGCGCCACAGCTAGGGGGCGCCCCGACAGCTGCCTAACCCCCCCCCGATGCTTGTGTGTTTTCGAAGCAGGACTTCACAGAGGCGGACCTGGACACGCTGGCGCCCTACATTCCCATGGACGGCGAGGACTTCCAGCTGGCCCCCATCGTGGAGGAGGGGGCCCGGGGGCCCCTGGGGGCGGGCTCTTTCTCTGGGCCCCTGCTCTCCCTGGGAACCCCTGATCGGCAGGGCTGTGGGAGACCCGCTCCCTCCGTCTTGGGCCCCCAATCCTCACCCTCTCTTCCCAGGCCCCCGGCCCTGAGCGGACCCCCACAGCGAGGGGCGCTGTGGCCCCCCCGCCTCCCGGTCCGGGGGCCCTCCTGCCCCCGCGGGCCTCCGCAGCCCCCGCGAGCCGCGGGCACCAGGCCGAGGTGAGGGGGGCGAGGGTGAAGAGTGAGCCCCAGGGGTGTCCAGACTCTGCCGGCAGCTGGTCTGGAGGGAGGGGAGCCCTAGCAGGAATGAGCTGCTTCCTTTATCGATTGATCGATTGATTGATATTGATAATGGGAGAAGCGGACACGGCTATGGACTCTGCTGGAATATTTTTTGGGGAGGGAAGGGCGGAACTCGAGCCCACTGTGGGTTTTGGAGTCCAGGCAGGAGGCGGGGCTCTGAGGGGCGGGGATTGGACTGGGGGCGGGGCTCTGAGGGGTGGGATTG